TATGACCTGATACTTCCATAACAAGGGAAGCAACTAAATAATGTTTCTTCTTGAGTGAAAATGCCAAGACTTCCTTAGAAGAAAACTGTCTGCATTCACAGAAATCAGAAACGCAAAGTGTTTTACCGATTGCCAGTTTGTAACAACTTCAAAAGATGTTCTCACTATGTATCCTTTCAGATGTCTGAGAATATCCACAGTGCGTATGGAGACCATACCATAAAGTGTATAAATGCTGAAACAGACCCTATACTGAGCTGATTCACAAGGTTTAGTTCTGTATTTTTGACACAGCTGGCAAGTGATTTACCATATTTTTAGACCACACATTTCTGTAGCCTTCCTGGAGATGTCAGCCACATCCATGGGGAAATACAGGTCCTTTCTTGTGGTTGTGTACAGTTCAGGCACTTCTGACTTATGGTGACCCCAAGGCAAACCTATCACAGGGGTTTTGTGCCAGAATCTGTTCAGAGGCTTGTCCTTCCTCTGAGATTGAGAGAGTGCAACATGTCCAATGTCACCAGAAGGTTTCCATGACTGAGTCAGAATTTGAAACAGCTGTTAGGATTTCTGGGAGTTGAAAGCCAAAACATCTGGGGACCCACAAGTTGCGAACCACTGCAATAGGTGCTGTTAGATCTGTTATTTATATTGTTTATAAAATACCAACGGATACTCAAATTAAAAAAAAACAAAAGACAGTTATTTTCCCCACTTGTAAACATCTCTTTTCTAAGTTGCCTGGAAAGGTCTGTTTCTCACCAAAAGTGGTCAGGAAAGGGGCTATAGACAATTTTTTCCAATTCAAAAAACTCCAATAGTCCCAAAAAGTCAATATTATATTTAGAGAAATGGGAAATCCAGATCTTGGGAAACGGTTTTAAAAATTGGGACCTTTGAAAATATGATCAGTTTATATTGATGTATATAACTAGCCTTTTTGATATCCTGTATAATCCCCCTTTTAATATCCCATCTTTCTCCCAAAATGAGACACAAAGCAACTATCAATGGGTTAAATATTTTCCTCTTATTTGTGCTATTATTTCCTCCATGTTTACACAAGAAAAACTCTAATAAAACAATTTTTAGACATTTTCCCTACTATGCCCACTAGAACCCAAACAGTTGGTTCTGCTGTTGAAGGATTTACAGAGTTGCATTTCTCAAAAACTTTCAAAGTTCGGATTCCAACCACAACAGCCAAAGTAGTAATGATTTATGACCCTTGCCAATTGGTTGCTGCACTCTTTAAAATAAGGTATAATTTTTATTAAGTGTTTTAATATGACTATTCAACATAATTCCGAAAAAGCATTTATACTTTATACTGCTTTAATTATATTTTGTTTTAATTTTACACTGCAAGCATCTTGGATCCCATATCGAGAGAAAAGGTGGGATTAAGTTAAAGCAAGATGAAGATTATACAGTGGGACTAAGGCCCCTTCCACACATATGAATAAAATCCCACATTTTCTGCTTTGAGTTGGAATATATAACAGTGTGGACTCAGATAACCCAGTTCAAAGCAGATATTGTGGGATTTTCTGCCTTGATATTCAGGGTTATATAGTTGTGTGGAAGGGCCCTAAGTTCCTTCATTTCAGAGTAGGAGGTTTGTTAAACAAAAGGGGCTGTTTACTAAATCGAGAGGAAATACTCTACGAGATATTGGGACAGGAGGCAGTTCAAAGAAATTCCATTGCAAGCTATTACATTATATCTGTATTTTCACCCAAGTCTGCTTATGTTTTAAAATTGTGTTAAGCTATCTGGGTGATTTAAAACTGTCTTGTTTTCACTTTCCCCTGCTCTATTGGTTCCTTTTGCTTTAAATTGCATTTAAACCATTGATTCAGACTTAGAAAAGCCTAAAAGGGCCACCCAGCCCAGCCCCATTCTGCCATGCAGGAAAACACAGTTCCAACAAATGGCCACCCAGGGCCCTTCCACACAGCCATATAACCAAGAATATCAAGGCAGAAAATCACACAATTTTAATATCTGTTTTGAATTATATTAATTGAGTCCACACTGCCATAAATTCCAGTTCAAAGCAGAAAATCTGGGATTTTATTCAGCTGTGTGGAAGGGGCCCCTGCCTCTGCTTAAAAAGGAGACCATAACATTGAGCCTGGGCAGTTAAAGTGGGGTCAAGCTGCTGTAAGTGTAATAATAATAATAATAATTTTATTTATACCCCTCCACCATCTCCCCAATGGGGACTCAGGGCGGCTAACATGAGGCCAAGCCCAACAATTACAACATATCAAAATGAAATACTTACAGCAAATAATAACATCAAATGAAATGTAAACAAAGCAAATTAATACAAATTAATACGTGTACATTGGAGACCTACTCCAAGATACAGAAGACTTCTGGTAAATTGGCAGTGGGATTGGGGGGATTGTAATCTAAGCCCCTTCCACACAGCTGAAAAAAATCCTACAATATTTGCTTTGAACTGGGTTATCTGTGTTCACACTGCCATATATCTCAGTTCAAAGCAGATAATGTGGGATTTTATTCAGCTGTGTGGAAAGGGCCCCAGTTCAAAGCAGATATTGTGAGATTTTCTGCCTTACATGGCTGGGTGGAAGGGCCCTAAGGCAGAAACAGGGTTGGACTAGCTGTGGAAAGTCCCACGGGTGAGTCCTAGAGAAGGCAATGGCAATACTCTGAAAAAAAAAAATCAGAATCATAGAGTTGGAAGAGACCACAGGGAGCATCCAGACCATACAGGAAAACAACAATCAAAGCGCTTTGCCAACCCCCCACCCCAAAAAAACCCAACCCCCCCTCCTCCAAAATAGAAGAAGTTCACTTAAGCTGGCATCCAACTTAACTAGCTTCCAAGCACAATTCAAAGTGCTGGTTTTAACCTACAAAACACTACACAGCTCTGGCCCGGTTTACCTGTCCTAACGTGCCTTCCCCTATAAACCATCAAGGACTTTAAGATCTTCTGGAGAGGCCCTGCTCTTGGTCCCACCACCTTCGCAGTCATGTTTGGTGGGGATGAGAGACAGGGCCTTCTCTGTGGTGGCCCCCCGGCTATGGAACTCTCTCCCCAGCGAAATTAGGTCTCTACCCTCTCTCTCCTGTCCTTCAGGAAGCAGCTAAAATCCTGGCTTTCCATCAGGCATTGATGGATGATCCGGTATAGACTAAGAGTTATTTGACCACAATGTTTTGGACTGAGTTGGATGTTGTTATTAACATGATGAATTGTCTTTCATATGTATTTTAACACTTATTTATTGTGTATGTTGTTTTATGGCGTTATTTATTGCACAGCATTGAATTTTGCTGTTAGCCGTTCTGAATCCCTCCACAGAGGTAGAGAAGGATGGGATATAAAAGTTCTAAACCAGGGGTCCCCAAACTAAGGCCCCGGGGGCTGGATATGGCCCTCCAAGGTCATTTACCTGGCCCTCGCTCAGGATCAACCTAAGTCTGAAAGTACTTGAAAGCATAAAACAACAATCCTATCTCATCAGCCAAAAGCAGGCCCACACTTCCCATTGAAATACTAATAATAGGCTCCTTCTACCATATGTGGTGGACTTGTAAAGAAGCAGTAAAGTTTTGGAGGGTAATTCATAAAGAGACGTAAAAGATCTTTAAAAGAACTTTTACAAGAAAACCAGAGTATTACTTATTAGGCTTTACAGATTTGGATCTACAACTGACGGAACAAGAGGATAAACTTTTTACATATATTACAACCGCCGCTAGAATTGTTTTTGCTAGAGAGTAGAAGCAAGATTCAGCACCAACTGTACAGGATTGGGTGGAAAAAATCAGAGAAATAAGGGACATGGACGAATTGACTTTTTTGTTGAAGAAAAATACAGGCATTATAATAAAAAGAACGAATTGGGACAATCTTCATGACTATCTGGACAATTTGCAAAAATAAAAAAACAAGAGAGACAAGTTTATTATCTTTAATAAATTTTTAATATATATTTTTGAGTAATAAGAATATTTTATCCAAGAAGATGGAATGGAAGTCACCTTTTTTTATTTTTTTGTGTGTGTGGATGTATTTTTGTAGTTTATATATTTTTTTAAAAAAATCTTTTTTAAATTTTTTAAAAGGTTTTTTTAGGATGTCCTTTTTTACTTTTTTACTTTACTGGCCTTTCCCTTTCTCTTTTTTTCCTTCACTTTTCTATACCTTATTGTTCTCAATCTTTCGATGTATTCTATATAAAAAATTAATAAAATTTCTTTAAAAAATACTAATAAGTTTATATTTGTTCAAATTGGTGTTCATTTTAATTATTGTATCGTTTTTAAGTGTTTTTTTTTTGCACTACAGATAAGATCTGTGCAGTGTGTATAGGTTTTTTCATTCATGTTTTTTTTTTCAAATTATAATCTGGCCCTCCAACAGTTTGCGGGACTCTGTTTAAAAAGTTTGAAGACCCCTGATCCAGACCATACAGGAAAACAACAATCAAAGCACTTTTAAAAAGCCTTAGAAGAAGTTCACTTAAGCTGGCGTCCACTCCAAGGCGCACAGCAGCCTGGCTTCCTTCCACATGTATTCAACGACCTAGGTGTGAGCCTGCTAGATGCCCTCGCCTGGGTTTCAAACCCTGACAGGCGACGTTGGCAACGCCCAGCCTCCCTCAAGAGCAGCAGGAGCCCTTTCCTGCCTTTGCCTGAACTCCGCGAATAGCCTTCCGGGCCCGTTGAACCTCCGCGCCCAGGTTGCCTACAGTTCGCAGGGAAGGGCGAGGGCAACGGCAGCCAACGCAGGAGGAAGCGAGGGAGGAACCGTGCCAGGAAAGTACACTTTTCCCCCTGCGGTGAAGCTTTTCTTGAAAAGCTCCTCGGTGCAACATTCAAGCGAAGGAAAGCCAGGTCGTGGGGAGGGGGAGAGGCTGGGGGCCGTCTCCTCTCTCCTTCCCTCTTCTCCTTCTGCCCCTCCCAAGGCCCCGGGGCTGCCGCCCAACAGGTTGCCTCCACAAGGAACTCACCAAGAGTAGGAGGACCCCAGGGGTCCCCAGGCCAGGGAGACAAGCCATGCCTCCGTCGCCTTCTTTCTTCTGGCCTCTGGAGAGGAGAAAGCAGAGGCCACCTCCGTGCTGCCTCGAGGCGAGCCCTCCTTGTCTGGTGGGAGGCTCCGGAGCAATGGGGCTGGCGGGGCAGGGGAAGGGGGCTGGCCGGAGGGAGTGGCTTGCCAGGGGAGGGGACAGCAGGTGAGTCACGGAGCAGCCTCGCAGGCCACTGTCGCCGGGAAGGGCGCTTGCTCTTTGCCCTCCAGCCTGAAGGGCCGCCTTTGTTGGGCAGGAGCGCGCCCGCCTTTGTGGGCTTCCAATGTTTCTTTCCTTGAAGCCTTTGGTGCAACTCTTTGGCATAAACAAAACCAGACCCTCCTCATGCCTCGTTGCTGCGAGTTTTTCGGGCTGTATGGCCATATTCCAGAATCATTTTCTCCTGACGTTTCGCCTGCATCTCGGCAGGCATCCTCAGAGGTTGTGAGGTCTGTTGGAAACTAGGCAAGTGGGGCTTATATATCTGTGGAATGTCCAGGGCGGGAGACAGACTCTTGTCTGTTTGAGGCAAGTGTGAATTTCTATGCTGGATGGCCATCTGTCAGGGGTGCTTTGAATACAGTTTTCCTGCTTCTTGGGAGGGGGTTGGACTGGATGGCCCATGAGGTTTCTTCCAACGCTATAATTCTATGATTCTATGAATGTTGCAATTAATCATCTTGATTAGCATTGTATAATAATAATAATAATAATAATAATAATAAATTTTATTTGTACCTCGCACCATCTCCCCAATGGGGACTCGGTGCGGCTTACATGAGGCCAAGCCCAAAGCAACAATTACATAAAATAAAACAAAATCCGAAAACACAAATAATAAACAATAATAATGCAATGACATAAAACAAAAGACAACATAGCAATATAAAATTACAATAAACACAATCTACATGTAATGGATAAAAGAAAACTGGGTAAAAACAGATTAAAATAGCCATGCAGCTTCAAGATCTGGCTACTTACTGCCTGGGGGAACCCTTTGTTGGGAGGTGATTAGCTGGCCCTGGTTGTTTCTTATCTGGAATTCCCCTGTTTTTGAGTGTTGTTCTTTACTATCTTCATTTTAGAGGTTTTTTAAATACTGGTAACCAGTTGCTTGGTTTCCAACAGACTTCACAACCTCTGAGGATGCCTGCAATAGATGCAGACAAAATGTCAGGACAGATTGCTTCCGGAACATTGCCATACAGCCTTGAAAACTCACAGCAACCCAGTGATTCCGGTTATGAAAAACCTTTGACAATACCTCCTCATGCAGTCTGCAGAACATTTCCTGCCTGCCTCACATTTCTATTCCAAACCTAGGGTGCAGAAATGATGCAGTTTGAGACCAGTTGTTGCTTTGAAGCTGGGTTAGCCCCAGATGCTTCTTTGGTATAGATCTGGGGTCCTCAAACTTATTGGTATTTCAATGGGAAGTGTGGGCCTCCTTTTGGCTGATGAGATAGAATTGTTGTTGTTGTTGTTGTTTGCTTTCAAGTTGTTTCAGACTTAGATTGACCCCGAGCGAGGGATGGGTAAATGACCTTGGAGGGCCGTATTCAGCCCCCGGACCTTAGTTTGAGGACCCCTGGTATAGATCTTTGTAAAGGTACCACTCCCATGATGCCATAGCCAGCATGACTTGTAGAGTAACCACAAGGTTGGATTTCCACAATGCACTGTACATTGAGCTACCTCTGTACCAAGTTTTGAAACTTCAGTTCAAAACATAATAAATATAAATAATAAAAACTTTATTTATACCCTGCTACCATCTCCCCAAGGGACTCGGTGCGGCTTACATGAGGCCGAGCCCATAGAACAACAATAATAAAAGCAATAACAAAACATCAATACAAAACAATCAAAATAAATCTCATAAACAAAAAATAAACAATAAGCAGTTGTGTGGAGTCCCACAGGGTTCAATTCTGTCCCCGATGTTATTTAACATTTACATGAAGCCGCTGGGGGAGATCATTCGGAGTTTCGGAATGAGATGTTATCTCTACGCAGATGATGTCCAAATCTGTCACTCATTTCCACCTGTCACCAAGGAGGCTGTTTAGACCTTGAACCGGTGCTTGGCGGCTGTGTCAGACTGGATGAGAGCTAACAAATTGAAATTGAATTCAGACAAGACAGAGGTCCTACTGGTCAGTCGTAAGACCGAACAGGGCATAGGGTTACAGCCTGTGTTAGACGGGGTTACACTCCCCCTGAAGATGCATGTTCGCAGCTTGGGAGTGATCCTGGACTCATCGCTGAGCCTGGAACCCCAGGTCCCGGCGGTGGCTGGGAGAGCTTTTGCACAATTAAAATTTGTGTGCCAGCTGCGCCTGTACCTTGGGAAGTCGGATTTGGCCACGGTGGTTCATGCTCTTGTTACATCCCGATTGGATTACGGCAACACACTCTACGTGGGGTTGCCTTTGAAGACTGCTCGGAAAGTCCAACTAGTCCAGCGGGAGGCAGCCAGATTGCTCACCGGAGCGGCATACAGGGAGCATACCACCCCCCTGTTGTGTCAGCTCCACTGGCTGCTGATCCAATTCCGAGCACAATTCAAAGTGCTGGTTTTGACCTACAAAACCCTACGGTTCCGGCCCAGTGTATCTGTCCGAACGGATCCCCCTCTATGTCCCACCTCGGAGCTTAAGATCTTCTGGGGAGGCCCTGCTCTCGACCCCGCCTCTATCACAAGTGAGGCTGGCGGGGACGAGGAGCAGGGCCTTCTCGGTGGTGGCCCCTCACCTGTGGAACTCACTCCCCGGGGAGATTAGATCAGCAACTTCCCTTTTTTCATTTAGAAAAAAACTGAAGACCTGGATGTGGGACCAGGCATTTGGACATTCTGGCAGCTAAAGAAAGATGATGAGCAGGAATTGACGAAACGGAATGGATTTACGGAACTCTGAACACTGAGCTTAGGATAGTTTACTATTATGTTATTGTATTGTTTGTATTGATGATTTTAATTTGTCAACTGTTTTAAGTGCTTTTATGTATGTATGCATATTTGATATAGGCATCGAATCCCCCCCCCCCCCCCGTGGGGTGAGAAGGGCGGGGTAGAAGTAACTGAAATAAATAAATAAATAAATAAATAACAGTAACAACAAGCATTTAAAAACCTATGGCTGGGCCAAATGTGATAATTAAAAATTAAAAAAATAATGCTGGGCATGAACAAGGTAATATACTGGGATAGAATTTTCGGCGAGAGGTGGGGCAAGCAAACAATCCTAAATCAATGATAAAGTGCATTTAGAGGACATACTGCTGAGAGTATTTCCTTATTCTGGGAAGGCACACTGGAACAACCACGTTTTCAGGCTCCTCCTAAAGACTGCCAAAGTTGGGGCATGTCTGATGTCTTTGGGCAGTGAGTTCCAGAGTCACTACCGAGAAGGCCCTCTCCCTCGTCCCCACCAATCGCACCTGCAATGGATGTGGGAGCGCGAGCAGGGCCTCTCCAGATGATCGAAGGGATTGTGTGGGTTCATACACAGAAATGCGGTCACGAAGGTGGGTGGGTCCCAAACCATTGAGGGCTTTGTACTTAAGAACCTGCACCTTGAATTGGGACCGGAAAATGAACGGCAGCCAGTGGAGCTCCTTAAACAGGAGGGTTGACCGCTCCCTGTAAGGAGCACATGGCAGTCAAACTAGTTACACAGTGGTTCTCAACCTGTGGGTCCCCAGATGTTTTGGTCTTCAACTCCCAAAACACCTGGGGACCCACAGGTTGAGAACTACTGAGTTACAGGAACAACCAGCAGTGAGCATATCACCCCTATGCTATGGACATCTTCACATGGGGCTAAAATCAATGGCATTCACCAGTTTAGCCCAAGTCACCCATGAAGCCCGTCAGCTGCCATCAATAAAGCTTATGCAGCTACATGGGTGGATTCCAGTGTTGCTATTAGAATACATGGGGGGAAGCCACACGTTTTGCTCGCGCTCCACTCCCCCCCCCCCACCATTTGATTGCTGTCAGTTAGAGCCAGGCAATGTGGGGCATGTGGCACCGGGTTTCTCACTCCCCCTAATCAAGTGGAGCAACTCCAGGATCAATGTAAATTCATTCCACTGGTTGCCAGTTAGTTTCCAGGCAAAGTACAAAGTATTGGGTTTGACCTTTAAAGTCCTATGGTTTGGGTCCAGGTTACTTACAGGATCACCTTCTCCCATATGATCTGCCTTGGACAATCAGGTCCTCTAGGGTGTGTGGGTGTGTGTGTGTGTGTGTGGGGGGGATCTACTCCATCCTGCCAGAACCCGACTAACAACCGATTGGTGACTACCACCCAGAGGACCTTTTCACCGGTTACCCCAAAATTGTGGAACAACTTGCTTGGGAAAAAAAAAACTGGCAGTGAGCATTGGAATTTAAAGCACATCTGAAAGCCTATCTTTTCCAGCAGGCTTAGCCAGTTCAGTTTAAATCACATTCTATGTTTATTACGCTTTAACTTTTGTCTCATGTATTTTAATTAGTTGTTCATTCATTCAGTCATTTCCAACTCTTTGTGACCTCATGGACCAATCCATGCCAGAACTCCCTGTTGGTCATCACCACCCCCAGCTCCTTCAAGGTCAATCCAATCACTTCAATGATACCTTCCATCCACATTGCCCTTGGTTGACCCCTCTTCCTTTCTCCTTCCATTTTCCCCAGCATAATTGTCTTCTCTAAGCTTTCCTTTCTTCTCATGATGGGCCAAAGTACTTCATCTTGGCTTCTACTATTCTCCCCTCCAATGAGCAGTCAGGCTTTATTTCTTGAAGTATGGACTGGTTGGATCTTCTCGCTGTCCAAGGCACTCTCAGAACTTTCCTCCAGCACCACAGTTCAAAAGCATCTATCTTCCTTCGCTCAGCCTTCCCTATGGTCCGGCTCTCACATCCGTAGGTGACTACGGGGAATACCATTGCTTTGACTATGCGGATCTATATGTGTATGTTTTAATATATGCTTTTATGGTTGAATTTTCACTATGTTTTATATGTGATTTCATAGATGTATTTAACTGTGTTATGCCCTGTGGTGAGCTGAAAGGAGAGGCAGCTAATAAATAAAAATTATCATGGGTTGCTGTGAGA